CTGGCGTGGCTGGTGGTCACCAGGGACCACTCCGATTTGCATGGGGGTGGGAAAAGTGCAGGGCTCAACCGGCCCCAGCACTGCCCACGTGCCCCTGGCATCTCTCCTCCAGGCTGGAGAGTCCTGGTCTGTCTCCTGCTGCTGGCATTGTTGCTGGTCCTCTATGGGCCGCGGGGCAGGGCGAGCTGCAGGACAGGGTGGTCTGCGGGGCTGTGCCAGGAAGGTCTCCCGCGACCCCAGCGCAGGATTTCGGGGTGGCCGGTTGAGCCCCTCCCCAGCTTCGCTGACGTGCCCATTCCCAGCATGTCGGAAATGCTTCTGAGCTTCAGTTTTCCTGGCTTGTGTAAGTGAAACATTTGGTTTTGTGACACTTTCCTTAATTATGGGAGCTAATGACAAAACCATTGTGACAAATGACTCAGCTTTTGATAGTGAAGTTAATTAATTCTGAAGTTAGAGCCTCCATCAGCGTATCTGGAAAAACCAGATTAAGAAGTCTGCTTACCTGGTGTAAAACGGGCAGCAAAAACCCAAGTCCCTACAACATGCCAGGTAAAATCCTCCCCACCGCTGCAAGGGGATGATGCGCTTGGAGCGAGGAGAATAAAGGCCAGACATCAGCACAGCGTTTGCCTCCCGAGCCATCCCTCCACCCAGCAAAGGCATCAGGAGGAACGCAGCCTCATTAATGTTTGAATGAGTGACCAGAAGCAGCTTTGCGTTAGATTCTGACCTTCAAGAGCCGTCTCCCTGAAGCCATCTTTCATCTCTTTCATTTGCATTACAATCCTGTTTGCCTCATTATTCGTTATCCACTTCTTCTTCAAAGAATTTAAATCAAATCTATTAAATTGCAGTGGGTCGGAGCAGCAGCAAACCTTTTATGGTGGCTCAGCACGGTCCAGCTGGACTCAGACTACAAAATATCTTTTAATCTCCTGCTATTTGTTCTTTTATTACTTCTGTGGTACCACTGCCTCATAGAATCCCTTTGATAATCTTCCTCCTTTCCCACCCATCCCTTGCAGACGTGCTCCATGTAGAGGCCGGTCTTTGTATGACCTTGGGGAAGGGATTCCCTCAGCTTCCCTCCCGCAGCCCGGGACCGGGATGTCCCCGGCAGGGCTGCCGAGATGGGGAGCTGCTGAACTGCACGCAGCACCCTGTACCCTTGGAGCTGGCACGGAGCAGCTGGGGGAACCCTGTGGCACTGGCGTGATGTTTGCTGGCCCCTGTCATCCCCTTCCCTCTCCTCGACTTGCTTTGTCTACCCAGGGTATCGGTATAGAGGAAGAAAAAGCAGATGCGATGGTGGGGCATGCCAGTGTGTGCAGCTGGTGCGTGCGAAAGCAGAAGCATGGGCAAAGCGAGGTGGACTTTAGCACGCAGCTGCTGTAAGCGCATTCACCTGGGTCTCCTGAGAGGCTGCTTGCTGCTTGCTAGCCCATGCATGGCCACTCCTGCACTCCCTTTGCATCTTCCCAGCGTAAAGAGGCTTAATAAGAATGGATTTCTGTTTCTCTCCCCTGCTATTTTTATTACTACTAAACTGTCGGAAGTCCAGCAGGGAGCTGCAGAGCTGGTAGGCAGCCGCACAAGCTCGCACCAGCTCGTGCCACACGCACTTGGGCTGGTGGCACGTATTGCACTGCTCACTCATATCGCATCTAGAGAACCTCCCTGAACTCAGTAGCTCATCACGTAAGGACACACCAGCTTCACCACTGGAGTCCTGTTAGAACCAGTAGATCGCAACCAGCATTTCCAAAGCATGTGCAGATATAAATAATCCCCTTGTAGGAGTGGGGAAGGACGAGCACACGTGCCAAAGGCTCTGGAGTCCTTATCCCCTTGCAGTCCCCGGGAGCGGGGAAATGGAGTGAAGACCAGGCAAGGCTGGAGCTCAGTGTCTCACTGCATTGCTAATGACCTAAACTCGCCTTGTATCACAGCCTCTCTTCCTTCAAGGAAAAAACCTAATCCAGCTAGGGATTATTTCTGACTACTTACTTTCTGTTGCTTTGCCAATTTAAATGCAGCAGAGCTTTCATCGCTGGATTTGGAAGGACAAAGCCTAACAGATCTCGGTTTAGGACATTTTTGCCTGCAAGGACAGCTTTTTTTTTGCACAAGTTGTACAATCTTTGCAGCATGAGCTGGTTTCTGTTATTTGTTTCCACTTCGCCGAACTCAGAAGGGTCCAGATCTGTGAGCAGGTAGATGATGATGGATAAGGCAGTGAACAGCAAGGGATGACCGGGGCCAAGCTGGAGGAGCCCAGGCTGCACAGGCAGGGTGCCAGGCTGTGACCACTGGAGCACACTGCCCTCCAGAGTCTGAGCTGCAAATCGGGATGGCAAGGTCCCCAAATTCTCTTCTGCTGCAAATCTCAGTGAACTCCCTGTATGTCCCCTGGGGTGGCTGCTCTGGGCAGAGCTCCAGGCTCACTCCTGGGACTGGCTACTCCATGCGATGAGTGGTAAAAGGGGTGCAGGGCTTGGCGAGGGGGTGCCCTGCCACCAACCCCTACAAGGGCCAACATGATCTGACATGGACTTTGATTCTGTTTGAGCTTGCTTTGTTAAAAGCCTAGGAAACGGTACATGTGCACTCTGCACACACCTACACACACTATGTTAAAATAACACAATTAAGGCTGCAAAATCCCCCACTCGGAATGCAATTTGCAGCCCCTTCGCTGTAGGTGTGAGATATCTTTGCTGCCTCCTCCCCGGGATGCCTGCCTCTGCACAGGATGGGGGCCGGGCAGGGTGCTGGTGTCAGGCTCTGCCCCACGCGCTGCAGGAGCTGGGTGACAGGCGGTGGGAGCGGTGGGGGTGGCAGGACGATGGCGCGTAATGCCGTGGCTGAGGCAGCTGTCCTGGAGAAGCACCGTCTCTCCCTGCACCTTGCCGCGAGCTACCTTCGTGGTACCCACCGGATCACCCAGGAGCAGCATCCCAGTGCAGCCGCGCGCGGGGCTCATCTTGGTGTCCAGCCTGTGACGCCAAGGCGTGACCTGTGACCATCGTGTGCCGCTGCCAACGCCAGTCACAGAAACTGGGCAACTATAACCCCTCCTCAAAAAACACACAGAAAAAAAGCCCTGTGGTTCAGCTTGGGTGGATGCTTCTGACCACAATCCCCGAGTCTCCATCCTCACCCTCACCAGAGAGTGCTCTCGGCCCCCAGCCCCCCGAGCGCTGCAGCCCTCCGGGTGGAAACGCCAGAAAAGGAGGAGCTGGTGCTGTGCACCCGGGGGGAGCCTGGGCAGACCTGCCTCCGCCTCCAGCCTGAGCTCTGAACAGAGGCAGTAAATGGGGCAAGGAGCCCGTAAGGAAGCAGGGGAATAAATCAGGGTGATCCACAGCTGGGCAGCCAGTACAGCGGGCGCACTGCGTGTGGCAGGGTGCTGGGGAAGAAACACTGCAGCGTTGCAATCAGCATGCCCTGCCTAATGAGTATGCACAAAGAAGGTGATTTAAGGTTGTGGAGGCTACTTAATTTTCACACTTCTTAATTGCTCAGTACCTGAGGTTTTGGTAACCTTCTTAATTTTCTGTTTGCATTTTGGGAGTAAATAACTAGTATTTACATGTGAGTGCATACAAATGAGAACTGTGAAAGTACACACTATCAGGTAAGTCATATGCTTTCCTGTCTCATCTGTAGCCCTTAAAAGACTATTAATTTAAGAGGTGGGTATATTATAGGGCTTATTTGAAAGGTCGCATGAGTCATAAGCTCATCCAACTGGATGCAAGCATGTTCGAGAGAGATGAGGAGACAGCGGAGAGGCGCAGAGAGAGAGAGAGAGTGAGGGTTTTAACTGGCGGCAAACAATTAAGGAGCGTGATGTGGAAAACACCTCAAGGTGCAATGTACGTCTGCTGGCACCTGCCTTGGTTTTGGTCTGTCACGGCGCTTGGGCAGAAGTCAATTGACACGGCATTTATCACCTGGGTGATAAAACCTGGTCTCCTCGGGGCAGGCGGTGCCCGCGGGCTGTGCA